CGGCCTCCGCGCCATCCGCCTGCTCCGCTGGAAGGCTCAGAAGGTCAAGGCTGGCGTGCGGCTCCTGGGCTTCAAATAAACCTTTGTGGCTCCTGGGCACTGCCCAGCCCATCCCGGGCACGGGGGCAAAGGGGCAGGACCCACACAGGGTTTCACTTCCCGTTCCCGGCCTGAAATAGCTGCCACATTAAAATGGGAGGGTATTTATAACCAGTGCTGGGTGAGCAATGCAGAGCTGCTTCCTGCGGGAGTGCAGCAGCCGTGACGGGGCTGGGAAGGGCTGGCAGCTGCCCCCTGCTGCCTCCTGCTCCCCAGGGGCACCTGGGCCTCTGAGCCATGGCATTGGCACCCAGGGGACCTCACCCTGTCACCCCTGCTGCTGTGTCCTCCTTCCTCCGGGCGCTGCTGTGGGGTGGGGAATGTCCCATGGTGGGGGCTCTGTGTCAGCCCTGTCTGGGCACTGGGGCAGCACAGGGGGTGCAGGAGGGCAGAGGGCAGAGTGACAGGGGTGTGGGGTGTGTTCAGAGGGCACAGCGGGGCATTTGGGGTGCAGGCTGGGGGTAAGACGTTAGGCAAAGAATGAGTGCAGGGCAGGTGCAGGGATGCCCAGAAGCTCATGGGGGCTCCCCCTCTCCAGCTCCCTGTGGTGACAACGGGGTGGGTTCACCCTGGGCACTGGCGTGTGGGTGCTTGGCGTGACAGCACCGGGAGGTGAGAGCAGGGGGAAACCACAGGAGGCCCGGCATGAATCAGCCCCGCTGCTCAGAAACCTTCCTGGCTCCCCCTGCCCTCCCTGGCACAGCCCCCGGAGCCCTGGAGGGACCCCCAGCCCCAGGTGGGGGCTGGATGGAAGCGGCTGCAGCTCCGTGTGCCTCGCACGTGGCGTCTCCGGGACCCTGGGGACAGGATGGAGGTGGGGAAGGGAAGGAAACATTTTTGCATTATCCTCCCCTCTTCTCTCACGAGTTAATGGCACAGCGGCGGTGGGACCGTGGCGCCGGGGTGATGGCAGCACCTGTGGGACGTGCAGGGGTGACATCAAAGCGGTGACAGTGTCGCTGCCTCCCCCCTCTGCGGTTTCTGCAGATTTGACTAACTTTCTCCGCTTGGGGGGCAGGATGGGGGGGAGGCGGGCGTGACTCTGCCCGGCCCCGGGGAGCAGCAAGGGGGGCCCCCGGCACAAAGCCACAGCTGTGGGAAACGGGGCTGAGGGAGGACGGGAGGGGACAGGACCTCCCTCATACACCCCCAGCCTCACGGTGTCCCCCAGTGCCCCGGGGAGCAGCAATGGGGTTGGAACTGGGGGGACCCCCAGCTCTGCCCCCAGCCTTGCTCGCGGCAGAGAGAGGGGGGACAGGAGCTGCTGTGGGTGAGCTGGGGAACACCTGGTGATGTTTGAGGCTGAGGAGCATCACCTCCCACCTCCCTGGAGCATCCTCCATGCCCACGGAGCACCGCTTCGAGCCCAGGGCTGTCCCCTCCATCCCAGCGCTGCCGCCGGGGCCGCAGCCCTGCGGGTTGGAAGTAAATTCTTCTAAAAACAATCGTCCGCTGGGACTTTCCTGTCGCCGGCGTGTGACAATCGCCAGCCGCTCCCCGTGTCCTCGATCCCCCGAGGATTTCGCTGCCAGGTGCCGACTCGCTGCCATGCAAATGCGGCGCCACATTTAACCCGGCTGGAGGGGCTGGAGGGGCCGGTTCGGCGGCTCCCCGGGGCCTTCACTTCCCTCCCGGCGCAGCGAGGGGGGCACCAGGCGTGACACCGAGCTGCTGTCCCCGTGCTGGCGCCCCGGTGACACTCACGGCCCCGTGTCCCGGTGGGTGCCAGAGCTGGGGACACTTCCAATGTCCCTTCCCCACATTGGCTCTGGTCGCCCCCCGCCCCCCGGATTTAGGAACGCGACCCACGCCGAGGGTGGGAAAGGCCGCGGGGAGGGTGACTCAGAGCAGGGCTGGGGAATTGGGACACCCAGAGGTGGTGGCAGTGACTCAGTGCTCCCCGTCCCCTCCCCGGCACCGTCGGGTTTTGGGTGCAGGAGCCGGCCGGGATGCTCCAAGGATGCAGAGCAGCAGCCGGAAGTTTTTCTGGGATTTTTTTTGTGGATTACGAAGCGTGTTTCAACACGAGGACAGGAGAAACGAGTTCCTCTGTGCTCTATCACGATTACAGCTATCAGCAGATAAGGATCTCGCTGTCACAACACCAACTGAAGGTTTCTGTAAGACTTTAAAGGGGTTTGGCTCCAGGCAGGAGAAGGTTGAGGAGGTTTGGGTGAAATAAATTCTTATTAAGGGACAAAGCAGGATGGGAAGCCCCGAGCCCCCTCTGTCTCACCCCGCCCTCAGAATGTCCCGGCAGCAGCAGGGGGAGAGACCCCTCAGTGTTTGTGCAGCACCGGGCTGGAAGGAAGTGAAGGGAAAAGAAAAAAAGGATCCTCTGACTTCCTTTCTTTCTTTCTTCTCGGCTTTTTTTCGTTTCTGTTTCTCAAGCGTGTCCAGCTCTTTGTGGCAGGAGGTGTCGGGGGGGAATGAAAGAAGCGCGAACAACGTCAGCCTGGTACCGCAGGTGCTAAAAGGGCCGGGGGGTTGGTGTGAGCCTCCACCCTCCCTGCCGGGATGTTTCCATCTGCCCGACCCAGCCCGGGAACCACGAACCCACCCCAGAGCCCCAGCGTGGGGCTGAGCTGCCCCCAGCCCACAGCTCTCGGGTTAAACCGCTCCTCTGCTCACCAGAAGCGGCTCCAGCACCATTTTCCATTCTTCAGAGGAGCTGCTGATGTTATTTTACACCTCTGGCTGTGTCAGTTACTCTACTGAGTAGCAGGTTCTGCTGAGCACAGCCTCCACCGTGGCACAGCACCCTGTGGGGACGCAGATTCCATCACACCTGTGGGGTTTACAGGCAGCCCCAGTGCTCATTCCCACTCCTCAGCCAGCTCTGGTCACTCCTACATCTGTTTTCATGGCTGGCAGAGTGGATATTTATTTAATTATCTTTTAAAACTTAAAAATACAGTTTAAGCACCAGAGGTTCATTTCTTGGTGCTAAAAGCTCCTTGCCTGAGCCTCCCTGCCCACTCTTGGGATGTAATTCATAAGTAAATGAAGTAAATGAAGAACCAAGCGAGATGGACGCACCAAGGCACCGGAGAGTGCTCCAAACCTGTTCCAGACCAAAATAACCAAGCCAGGAGCAGAATAAATCAGGCTCTGAACCGGTTTTCCCATCTGTTTTCCCAGACAAGGTGGTTTCCAGAGCTTCTCCAAGCTCAGGGATCTGCCCTGGACCAACATAGCCCCTCAGCATCCAGACGTGGCCCAATGGGATTCCCATCTCCCAAGCCAGAGCAGCGCTGTGGGACAGGGATGAATGATGGGGTGTGAAGGAACAATTAATATTTTTAAATTAACCCATTACCCAATCCTCTTATAGAGAATGAGATTTTTGGACGGCTCCAGGAGGTCTCTCTCTGTGGATCTCTTTAAGAACCTGCCCTTGCCTGCCCTCAAGTCAGGACATCATCATTATTTAAATATTTTATTCGTTTATTGACAACTCTTTGGTTTTGAAAAGCTAAGCCATTGAAAAGCAAGCTTCACAAAATTAGAAATTGATAAAGACAACCACAATGTCCTAAAAATGTCGGACTTAGAAATGCCAGGGCAGCAGTGGAACCTCTGGAATTCTCTGGGAATCTCTCCCTCCCTTTCCCTCTCTTTTCTGGACCCAAAGCTTGGCCCTTGGGGCTGACCCTTGGTGGAAGTGCAGCCTCCCTCACAGGAGGAGCATTGGTCACACTGTGACACAGGTGGTCACCTGGGGAGGGCCAACGTGCACCTTTGTCACCATGGAGCCCTGGGAAACATCCTAAACCTGCTTTGCAGCTCCACACACAACAGCAGAAGAGTTCTCCTCAACCCCAGGGGTAGCAGATCCTGGATTTGCATTTCCACAGCACTCTGGATGCTCAGACACACTGCAGGCTGATTTATCCCTCTCCAAATCCACCTTCAGTGGAAAACATGAATAGAAATTTCTTATTTTATACCTTAAAATTCAGAGAGGAAATAATTGGGCCAAAAAAATTCAGAGGGAGGGACGAATTTCAGTATTTCTTGACCCTCAGCTCTTCAACCTTCCCTCAGGGAAGTGATTGGGTCACCAGGGAATAACACAAAAGCAACACAGCTCTCAAACCACACAAGGGATGCAGAAAAGTCCATCAGAACACTCCTAACTAAGGATACAAAAATATTTTGCAAAGATTAAACCTTCACTCAGCAAAGCTGTTACCAAACCCCTCTCCAGCCCAGGGACACCAACACAGCTGTGGGGCCACAGGGAATTGTTGTAAAAACCAACTTCAAAGGGATGGCACCTGCTCAGGGTGTGGAGCTGCATCTCCAAGGGCTGTCCTGGTGTGGGTGAGGCTCTCACAGCCCTGCCTGGGGTCTCACCTGTCCACAACCAGCCAGGACCAACCCATGATGGCACAGCCACACGTCCTGCTGTGGGACAGAGGCACAACACCCAGCACAGCTTCATCCTCGTTCTTGGCAGCCGTCAGAAAGGAGGAGTTTCCAGCAAAGAAAACTGGGATTTCCTCCAGGCCACATGGATGACCTCACTGGGTATCCCAAAAATATGTATTGTTAAAAAATCCCAACCCCAAATAGGTCTCATTTCTCATTTTCCTCTCACTGAGTAATTTTAAAGAAAGTCAGCAGTGGGGTAAGAAAAATGAAAGTGTGCTACACTTTTGTTAAGGCTTAGGGGAAAAGCTTTAAAGACGAATTAATAATCCCTCCCTTTTCCTGCCCTGGTTTTCCTTGTTCTGGGGATGAGCCACTGGGATTATAACTAGGAAAAGCTCCTCCAACACACCTCTGACTATTCACCTGAATGAGCAGGGGAATTGGCATGAAAACCTTTTGTGCTGACTTAAAGCAAACTCTATAAAAACAAACACAAGTTAAAAATTGAAAACATTGTAAATGGTTCTGAAGTTTCACAAAAATAAAGTTCATATCAAAACCAGTCTCTGCTCCTGGTGTTTCCCACAGTCCCACTCACCACAGCAGCCAGGCAGAGATGCTACACAACACTGAATTATCGAGAAAAACAAATATAAAAAAACGCGTCACCTTGTGACACACTTAAAACTGACCTAGAAAAATACTCCAAAAAAAAATTTCATTACGCTAATTAAACCCCTAACCAACCAAGCCTCCCCTTTGACAGCAAACACATCCTTTGACCTTGGAAGA